TCCTGGGTGGTTACGAATCTCTTTAAGCAAACTTTAATTATAGATATGATTAAAAACATTCTTTGTCCTCAATTCTCCTTTGAAGCATTTATACAAATATTTGATGCAAATTTAGTCTTCCATATGTCCTCCTTCCATAAAAAAACAAGCTCAATATCTTTCCTACCTAGAAGAGAATGTATTTTCTATCTAGACAGAAATATCTATCTCTATCTAGAATATCTAGAAACATTTTCCCTATCTAAAACAAAAGGTATTTTATGCCATAGGAACCACCATAACACTTTTCAAACAATTTTTGTGTTTAACAATATTTATTGAGCTCCTATTGTATATTAGACCCACTGACCAGGGATGCAGACCAGAAGTCATTCTTTTTGTTCCATGGACACATTTAGCAGTCCAAAGTCTATGAATTCCTTCTCAGAATAATATTTTTATTAGTCCTTAAATCAAAACACATTAGATTACAAAGAGAAGAAATTGCCATATACTTTGGTTAACATTGTTAATTCATTTCTACAAGCTCTGCTATTAAGTGATGTTAAATGAAATCTTTAAAAAAAATTTTAAATCCCCATTAATTTTAATAGGAAATTTTATTAAGTATTACATCTTAACCTAAGACACCCAACATTTTTTTAAAGACTTAAATAAATAAATGTGTGTGTGGTGTAAACCACCATACATTTGAGACTGTCATGAAGAATGAAAAGCATTCACTTGAGCAAACAGGGCCAGCCAGAAGACATAGATTTAAGTAGCAACTTCAATTTTGTTCCACAGAGACAAAGGGAAGGATGCCTTTTATAGTGAAAATTCCCGTCCAAGTTCTCAATTAGGTCCTTTTGTGTCAATGAGGCATCCAAATTGTGAAGTTTTGATTGGTCCATATAGTGAAAGCAAGGGTACAAGTTTTGTAATTCTGACTGAAGGGGCCAAGTCTCAGTTCATTGGTAGAAAGGTGAAAGCAGGGCTCCCTGCAGTGGGTGACTCAGATCTTGTAAACAAGTGGGGCGTAGTGTGGATGCTGCGAGCACAGTCTGAGTTTCTTCCCTGTGTACAGAGTACTAAGGAGCCCCTGTCAGCAGATACTTATTTATAAAATTTGAGCCCTCAGTTGACCCTGGAGTGTCCATCTCAGCAGATAAATTCCTTTTCAGGGTCCACAGTGTACATATATAAGAATATTTATCTGTATATAACGATAGTTATATATTTGCACACATAATAAGAGTAAGTTTTTATAAGCAGTGATAAAGAATTTGAAAGTAAGCAAACATTGTAATCCAGTGAAGGTTTATTGTACCCATCAAAAGAGGAACGGATGACTTGAGGGTGAGTAATGCACGTACAGAGAAGGGATGAGGGAGTTTGGCATTGGAAAGCTCGTTATTTTTTCTGCACTATTATCTTCACATATTTTTCAATCTTTTGGGGGAGCTCATTATTATTGAGGTCAAATTGTGCTTAAAATAAGATTCAGATTTATCTCTAGAGCAAAAATGAAAACAAAATGCAAACAATTCAATCTATATGGATACAGCCCATGCACACAACAAACCCAGGGGTTGTAAGAAATGAAAATGCTAGGTCTTCATTTCTTGCTTGGTGTCCACATGCAAAGCAAATGTGTTTGGGTTCATTTTAACAGGCCTTCAGAGTGAAATTTGTTCCCTATGATACTTTGACTACAAAATGCTAATGAGTGAATTGGCGAGTGTCTTTGCCTAAAATCACAATATTTATATAATTTCTCATGGCATGTATATTTAATGAATTTGGAGTAAAAGTTTTCTTTATACTGGTAATAAAAAGTTTTCCCAAGAGTGATATGGCTTTTTTAAAAAGTGTATGGCTAAAAATTCATTAACTGAACATTCATTTTGTAAGGGACATCTATTATTAGCTTATTATTCTATAGATAAGACTTGAGGATCTATGAATTCAGCTGGAGGTAAAAACAAACAAAAACAGACACAAATTTCTGCGTTTATATAGCTCATATTCTTGACAATCTATATGAATGGTAATTCTGTTCACTGGATCAATTTGGTCAGCTCACAGAGGTGCATTTTGTCTCTGATTTATATTCCCATCACAACACAGTTTTCATTTTATCATGATTGTCTTTTTATTTTTATTTTTTTTATTTTTAAGTATATTTTTATTGATTTCAGAGAGGAAGGAGATGGAGAGAGAGATAGAAACATCAATAATGAGAGAGAATCATTGATTAGCTGCCTCCTGCACGCCCCCCACTGAGGATCGAGCCCACAACCCAGGCATGTGCCTTTGACTGGAATTGAACCTGGGACCCTTCAGTCCACAGGCTGATGCTCTATCCACTGAGCCAAACCAGCTAAGGCATGATAGTCTTTTTAAAAAATTGTATTAGGGTGACATTGTTTACTAAAATTATAAAGGTTTCAGGTGCACAAATCCATAATACTTTCATCACCATTTATTCCCCCATATTGTCTTTTACCTCCCCCAACATCGCATTCCCTTTGATAATCTCCATATTATTGTCTGTATCTATGAGTTTTTTATTTGTTTGGTTTTGTTTAATCCCTTCACCTTTTCACCCAGCCCCATAGTCTCCCTCTCCTCTGACAGCTGTCAGTCTGTTTTCTATCCATGAGTCTATTTCTATTTCATTTATTAGCTTATTTTGTTCTTTAGATTCCACATGAGTGAAATCATATGGTACTTGTCTTTTCTGACTAGATTATTTCACTTAGCATAATGCTCTGGGGGGGAGTGTCCCTCAGCCCAGCCTGCACCCTCTCCAATCTGGGACCCCTCGGGGGATGTCTGACTGCCAGTTTAGGCCTGATCCCACAGAGATGGGGCCTAAACGGGCGGTTGGACATCCCACTCACAATCCAGGACCGCTGGCTCCTAACTGCTCGCCTGCCTGCCTGATTCCCCATAACCACACCCCTGCTGACCCGATTGCCCCCAACTGCCCTCCCCTGCTGGCCTGATCGCCCCCAATTGCCCTCCCCTGCCAGCCTGATCGCCCCCAACTGCCCTCCTCTGCCGTGACTGGCCTCCTCCACTGGTCCCCACCTCTGCTGTGCATGCAGCCATCTTGTGATGGCCATCTTGTGATGACATTAGGGCGTGATGCATGAGGGTGTGACGACCACCTAGGCTATTATTAGTATAGATATTTGAGCAGATCAAAGAAGCTTCTTAAAAGATGTGGTCTTGGTTTCAGATATTCTTACAGCTCTCCTACAAAGCAAATAAGGAATAGAACTTTATAAGAATGGATCTTTACTTCTAATTTTTCTAAAATATTAGAATACCCATTTCCCTGGGCCATAATGTGTGTGATTCTTAGTACGCAAATCTGTCATGTCATTCCTTGGCTTAAACTTCTTGAGTGACTTCCCCTTATTCTTTGGATATCATTAATATCTTGAATGCACTTTACAAGGTACTTATACTCTGGCCTCACATAATTTTTCATCCTCATCTTTGGTCTGTCTTTTCTTATTCTCCCTGCTAGAACTACAGAGTTCTGCTTTGGTTAATTCTATGCTGCCTTTGTAAATTGTTTTTCAGTCTTTTGAGCAACTCATCTTGCATGGCCCTATCCAGGTTAGTTCCTCTCTGCTATGAATGCAGGGCACAGCCCTACATGTGTGTATGCATTTTGAAAACTAAGGTCTCCTAAGTCACTTCCTGCTTCCCTGGTAGGTTGGTTTTCAAGTGATGCTTCCTGCATCCCAAAGTATAGCCACTGAGGGAGAGGAGGTGACTTAAAGAGCTCATTCGTTTAGGAGGTGAGGGGACTTAATCATAACTTTGGACTTTCTTTAGAGGGTTAAACAATGAGTGTTTATGAAAACAAAAAAAATGTTTTTCCCCCAGAGTTTTCTTTTCAAAGGCTTCTCTGTGTACTCTGGCTAATTTAAAAAGAGCCCCATAGGGTGCTTATTTTTTTCACACATATATTGCCAGAGTAGTTCCTGTTTTGGTTCAAATGTGCTTCTTTTTTAAGTCAAATGAAAGAGAACTTTCTTTTAGAGGATTTATCTGCTGATCTTGTTTGTTAGCATGAACCTAAATAAAGCTTCTGTTAAGAGTTTGACTTTTTTGCTAAATCCTCTCGGCTAAATTATCTGGTAAATTCTTAGTTAGATGATGTAACTAGAGAGCTCTTAGTGCCTTCTTTCCAAGCTGAAATTTTTGTGTCCCAAGAGGTCTCCTCTGAAGTAAATGTTTTGAGGATGGATATTTTTCTCCTAAACCAGTTGACTTATTCCTTGGGCAGGTTGAGGTTGGGGTATGGATGTATGAAATATGATAGACACCAAAAGTGAGCAAGTGATTAACTCTGTAGTAGGCGATGGCGTTGGAGAGCAGGGTGTAGGTCAGGCTATCCAGAAAGGCTATCTCATAGGCTTTAGAGGGGGTAGAATAATGTCTCAAGGAAAAGGGCCATGGAAAGGAGCAGTAAAAGTAGCTCCCAAAGTTGGCCCTGTCAGTCTGGCATACAGCTATAAAAGTCAGCTTTCTTAATACGGAGTTTCCCTCAGGGGAAAATTTTAGGAAGATACAACAAGAAGAATAAAAAAAGAAAGAAAGGAAGAAAGAAAGAAAGAAAGAAAGGAAGGAAGGAAGGAAGGAAGGAAGGAAGGAAGGAAAGAAAGAAAGAAAGAAAGAAAGAAAGAAAGAAAGAAAGAAAGAAAGAAAGAAAGAAAGAAAGAAAGAGAGAAAGAGAGAAAGAGAGAAAGAAAGAAAGAGCGAAAGAAAGAAAGAATTTCTGTTACATGCTGAACATGGATGAATCTCAAAAACATTGTGCTAATCGGAAGTCAGACACAAGAGCCTACATATTGTATAATTTCATCCATACAAAGTGTCCAGAATAGGCAATTCATAGAGACAGAAAGTAGATTAGTGGGTTCTTGGGGCTGGGATGTCCAGAGATGAGTTTGGGATTATTTTGAGGGTAATGAAAATGTTCTGAAACTGATTATGGGATGGCTGCACAACCCCGTAAATTAACTAAAAATCATTGGGTTGTACACTTGAAAAAGTTGGATTTTATAACATGTAAAACATATCTCAATAAACCTCCTTAAAATAAAAAAGGTGAGATCATGTATTCTAAGGGACTGAGGATAGAACCTTCTAGCATAAAGACAGAAGTGCCTTAACTAACATAATCACTATCATCTAAACATTGGACAGACAGCTTTGTTTCTGCAAGAAAGAAAACCAGGAACAAAATCATTCCTTGAGTTTAAAAGACAGCATCACAGTCAAAATTCAAATTGGTTTTCAGAAGATGAGAATATTTCCTCAATGAACAGATTTTCAAAAGAGACCTCTATTTAAAAAACCATGCAAATATGGAATGTTTTCAACACATGCACTAATGTTAATAAATGATGCTGAAGATTGCTTCTGCTTCCTTTAGGGAAAACAAGTATTTACTAAACAAATCAATAAGAACACAAGATAATGGGGAGTCTCTTATTTGTGCCCTTCAGAGAGTACATGCAATTTGATATGCTAATCATAACCATTTTATTTTCTTTAGAGCACTTCTCCGTGGCTAGTGGCTAGATGAAGTCTTACCAGGAATTTGAATTACTCTAACTTGCTATACCTCCATAAAACATTTAGGGCTAAACCTGACCACAGGCACCAGGGCATTAGGGGAGAACAGGATCAGACCCATCTCTTCCTTCCCACTCCCTCAGATGCTCAAACAATTAAGAGGATTTCTGGGGATAAATGTAGACTTCGAATCCAGGATATGAAGATATAGCCAGACCTTTATACCAATGAATGAAAGTCTCAAAAGAATGAAGGACAATGTATTGAATGGGAGCCTGACTCTAAGCTAGCATTTAACCAGCTCGAAGAGGCACTCCTCCAAGCCCGGGCCATGAGTCTCCCCACAGGGCAAGAACTCAACCTATATGTCACTGAAAGGAGAGGGATGGCCGTAGGAGTACTGACCCAAGCCTGAGGCCCTGCTCAACAGCCAGTGAGATATCTGAGTAAAGAACTGGACATCCTGGCCAAGGGCTGGCCCGCCTGTTTGCGGTGGTGGCTGCTGGTTCTAGAGGCCACCCAGTTAACCTTAGGAAAGGACCTGGCAGTTCTTACTCCCCATAGCATCATGGCTTTACTATCCTCCAAAGGAAGCTCGTGGCTTTCAGATAGCTGTCTTCTCAAATATCAGGCACTCCTAGCAGGGGGACCTACAGTCAAATAAAAGTGTGGGCCTCTTTAAACCCAGCCACCTTCCTTGTGAAAGAAAAACAAATAACAGAACATGACTGTGATCAGGCAGTACTCCAAACCTATGAGGTCCGAGGAGACTTAAGGGAGACTCCCTTAGAAAGTCCCCATCTGATCCTGTGGGACGGAAGCTCCTTCATGGAACATGAGGCGCATAAGGCTGGGTGGCTGGGGTCACCCTCACCACCACTCTGGAGCGCGCTCCCCTTTCTCCCGGCACTAGTGCTCAGTTAGCTGAGCCGATCGCCCTTACAAGAACATTAGAGGTCTGCGAGGGCGAGGGAGTAAACATACATACTGACTCTAAACATGCTTTCTTGGTCCTCCACGCCCCTGCTGCCATCTGGAAGCAAAGACATTTGACAGGGAATGGATCCCCTATTAAATATCACAAAGAGATTGATCGGCCCCTGTCCTCAGTGTACCTCCCTTCAGAGGTAGCTGCTATACATTGCAAGGGGCATCGGAGAGGATTACATGAGGTCATGGAAGGAACAGGCTAGCTGATCTGGCCACAAAGGCAGCAGCCAGAGCAGGACTCTAAATCCTTAGACTCCCTAGCTAAAGTCGTCTTGGATAATCGTTTAGCCCTTGATTACCTCTTGGCAGAACGAGAAGGAGTCTGCGCAATTATAAACAAGACCTGCTGCACTTATATCAATAACTCTGGCCTCGTGGAGGCAAACATAAGGAAAATCTACGAACAAGTAGAATGGCTGCATAAGTACAACCAACGGGGCCGGGACATGGGCAGTCTTTCTCTTCCTGGCTGCCTAGCATAACTTGTCCCCTACCCTTTCGAGGCCCCCTGGTCTCTGTACTTCTCCTCCTAATTTTTGGACCTTGCATTTTTTAATCGCTTAGCTAAATTTGTGCTTTCTTGCCTGGAATCCTTCAAATTACAGATGGTTATGGAAATGGAACCCCGCATGAATAACCCAGTCTTCCTCGGCCCTGGAGATCGTCCTTTCCTAAAGGAACCCTGACTGCCAGGGGCCTGACAAGGTGCCCATTCAGCAAGAAGCAGCCAGAGCGGTAAGTCATCCTCGCAATTCCCTAAAGGCAGGCAGGTAGGGTTACTCCATGAGAGGGGGGACATGAGGAGTTGGTGGGATCAGACAGTTTAGGGTAAGGGCCGCAGGGAGGGAAGATGGTAGGTAAGGAGGAAATCAACCAGATGGTCAATTGAGCAAGATAGGCAGAATGTACCAGTCAACCATAGAGCGCCCTTCCCCTGGACCCAAGAATGGGAACTAAAAGTGGGAAGACGAGGGCAAAAGGAGATTGGGTGGTGTTTCTTTGAAAGAGCCAACAGAAGGCAAGTGCAGGAAATTTAAACCCCTAGACCCGTGTTCGGTAAACTGTGGCTTGCGAGCCACATGCGGCTCTTTGGCCCCTTGAGTGTGGCTCTTCCTAAGCCTTAGGAGTACCCTAATTAAGTTAATAACAATGTGCCTACCTATATAGTTTAAGTGTAAAACATTTGACTCTCAAAAGAAATTTCAATCATTGTACTGTTGATATTTGGCTCTGTTGACTATTGAGTTTGCTGACCACTGCCCTAGACTAATGAGCTTCTGTAGCAACCCTTTTCCGGGACCCGTCTCTCTGCGAGGAGAGTTCTGTTACTTTCACTGTAATAAACTTCACTTCCCTTTGCTTACCCCTCCCTTGTCCTTGAATTCATAAAGTTCTAGAGACAACGAACTCAACAGTTCACACTCACCTCTCAAAATCATGGACTATGCCAACATTTAATTCCATGATTACTTTATCAAGCTTCCTGAGTATTATCTTCTCTCTTGGGAGTAACATGTAGCTATTATTATTTGCCCTAGTTTGCTTAATGTATCCAAAGCTGGAAAGAAGGCATTTCAAACTATAGAACCTCAGGGAAACAGATAACTAATCATTTAAAACTTAGCTGATGCTTAAAGGCAGCTTTTATATATTAAATTAGTATGCTGATTTTTTCTTTTAAGGGACAAAGTTTCTAGTTGAGGTAGTATATGCCTAGATAAAAAGTTTGTTGGTTGGTTTTAGATGACAGAATTTTGCCATTACTTTTTGAAAAACAGTTGTTCTGAAACATTGGTGCCCAAATAGCTGGGCCTCAACCCTAGAGTTTCTGATTCAGTAGGTTTAGAGACAAAAGTTTGCATTTCTATGAATATGCAGGGGTAATGCTGAGCTGATGCTCTGGGGACTACACTTTAAAAACAGAGAAGTTTTGATCCCCTGCCTTATTAAGTTTGAACGGAAAGGGAGGACCATGTGCTCCAGATTCAGAAAGTTGTAAACACTGTAGGCCAGGATCATAACTTGTAAGAACTTTGTGTAATCCCTTAAAGTTCACAATTTTCCAAAGTTCATCATCTGCCTCTTTCCCAGACTACTGTTAACCTTAAAACTGAAATAGGTCTTTAGCAGCTGGAGAGATGCAGATAAACATCCCCATCCCATAAATGTGAACACTCTAGGGGTTGCCCCAGGAGAGAGAATAGATGGTGGCAGCTTTAGAAAGAGGAAAGTAAATAGAACCATGGAGCTCTGCTAAAAGGAAGGGAAGAAGGTTCTTGGAAGGAAGCCTGGCTTCGAGAAATGGCCTTGAGGCTTAACAATAGAAAGATCTGTGAGAATACCTGGAGGGCAGGCCATCCTGGTCAACAGTGCCCTGAGGGGATAAGACACAAAACCAGTCCTTCTTGCTCTCCTCCAGCCTCCTCCACCTGAACTCTCAGAAGTTCCTGTGCTCCCTAGGTGGCTGGGGAAGAGGGACTGTGGGGCTGACCAGCTCCCTGGTTCTCCCTGCCAATTTAGTTCAAAAGGAGAAGTGAGATGCTTAAATAATCTAAAATAGAGGGTGTTTTTGCTGCTTTCTCTTCTCTGTTCATAGGGTAATTTTCATACCAGAGAAATTATTTTATTTGGCAGATTAATGTTTTAATATGTCCTTTGATTCATTTTTCAATGAGCTTTTGAAGAGATGTAGCTGTATTTTTCAGGTATATCAGCCATAAGAAGTTTCTTCAACTGCCTTAATTTTTTTTGTTGTTTTGTTGTTGGTTTGTTTTACTTTACTGTCTCTACTTGTCTCCAAATAGTCATCTAACTTTATAGGGTTTTATTTCTCACAGTCCCTTTTAGAAAAGGTAATATCAGGAAAAGCATAGTTTTGCCATCCATGACTTGAGAGTTCAAATCTGGTTGCCAAGACCTTGGGTAAATGACTTATTTTCTTTAGGATCGAAACTTCACATGTTAAATGCTGTCAATTATACTCACGTGGTGGTATTTTTTGGAGAAGTAAACAGGAATGTCTCTAAAACACTCAGCACATTTTCTGAGGCACTGTCAGTGATGATAAGCTATATGATCATTTTTGTTGCTGTTGTTAGGGAGCTCTTTAATTCTTTTCCTACCATTCTCTCCAAACAATCTGAATTGCTTTAATAAGAAGAAGCAGTTTAGCCCCAAATCTGTGTGCACCCTCAGATTTCTAGTTCTCTTGCGTTTTCTGAACCCCAGTGGATGTAAACCTAGTACAAATGCCTTAGATTGTGCCCTTGGATTCACACCTAAGCAAAGCCAGGCAGGGTGCCAGATGGAGAGGCTGCTGAAAGTGGTCTCCTTCCTGTGGGTAACCAAGAAAAGAATAAATAAAAGGCATGCATAGGTCTCTAGTTGAAGAAATAAGCCCACATGAAAAGCTAAATTATTTAAAGATTTAAATAAGAATTAAATACAAATATAGAAGTCACTTCAACATTTCCATAATCCATCATCCCCAGGGCTTTCTAAAAGCTAAATCTGATCATATTACTTCCTTGCTAAAAACACTCCTCAGCACCTATGCCCCCTCAACTCACAATTTTTTCCAACAATATTTATCTTCTTTATATAGGTTTAAGCCATTAAAATATTCCAAGGTTGGGCTCCTCCTTTTCTTCTTCCCAAAGAGACTTAATTAATGGCCAACTTCACTGGTTTAGCAGAGATCTTTCACTTTGGGGATTTGCTTATCTCCTCCTGCCCCCAAATACACACCAAAATAAATGCCTTGTCTCTATTTGCTATTAACTGTTAAATTTGTATGTTTTCCCCCCACGTCCCACGTGGTTCAGGGTTCAGGATCTGGAAGAGGTCCGCACGCAAATGAAAGAGACAAGACAAGAAATAATAATTTGGAAACATGGGGGGACCAGGCAGGCAAGGCCAACTCAAGAGGAAGGACTTCCACTGGTGCTCAGGCCTCGCCAACCTTTTATTGGTTTGGGATACACCCATAGCCCTTAGGCAGGCAATTTCCAGTAATAGGCAGACTAACCTATCAGCAAGGATTTACATAATAGTAAATGGGGAAGTTGCTTCAGCTACCATTGTCTGGACTAACAGTGGGTGCACAGCCCTGACCATTGCCAGAGCTCAAGGGTTGCCAGCCTTCCGGGATCCTTGTCCACACCTCTCTGCTAGTGAAGACAATGGGTGGCTTCCCACAATTAACACTCTGTAAATAGCTCTCCCACTCAACCTTGTACTTGTTGGTTAAGCTGTGAGGGTTCTAAAGCAAGTGCCATGGACAACCTAGGGCTCTATTTGGAAGTAAATTCACAGTAAGTATAACTTTAGTGAATGCAGCTAGCTGACTGGCAACAAAAAGTCTATGGGCCTAAATGCACCATTAGGAGTGGGAAGAACTGCATCTTTGATAGGTGGGATTATAAGGGGAGGTTGTGGAAGGCCTTCCGGATATACTTGTGAACTGTAATACAGCCATTTTAAAAATTCTGGGACTTTCCTAGCAATAATCCAGGAACCCTGGATCACATAGATGAGGTGAGAGATGAGCATCATAAGGTCACCTTGTGATCAACTTCAGGATAGAATGGCAATATGAGAGAGCAGCACACAAGCAACTGACACCCATGGGGAACCAGAGGTAAAAATACTAAAATGTGTCTAAATAGTGAGGAGATAGAAAAGGAGGGCTAGGTAGGCAGTCAGAGACAGTGACCACGTGGAGGTAGGGGGAAGGGAAGTTAGACGTGGAGGCAAACAAAGGACCTAGAACTAGCTAGGCGGAATTGGCTGGGGAAAACTTGACCTGGCTGGGCAGGAAAAACTTGACCCTTGACCTGGCCAGGCGGGAACAGTGATGTCACCACCAACCTGAAGTGGCAGTCTTCAATCAGGTCCTCCCACAGGCGGGAACTTGAACTTTGGTATAATTGGATATTGTCAGAATTCCTTGAAGGGGGCAATCAGAAGCTAGGAGAGTATATGAACATCCCCTAGACCAGCGGTTCTCAACCTGTGGGTCGCGACCCCTTTGGGGGTCAAACGACCCTTTCACAGGGGTCGCCTAAGACCATCGAAAAACACACATATAATTACTTATTGTTTTTGTGATTAATCATTATGCTTTAATTATGTTCAATTTGTAACAATGAAATTGGGGGTCACCACAACATGAGGAACTGTATTAAAGGGTCGCGGCATTAGGAAGGTTGAGAACCACTGCCCTAGACAAAGAGCTTACGTGGTAACCTGTTTTGGGCCCCCTTCCTGCTGCCTAAGTCCTTCTATCCCCCCCTAAGCTTTGTTTCCCCCCCAATAACGTTTGTTTTCTTCCCACCATTTTGTCTGTGAATTCATTCTTCAGTTTTACAAGACAAACAGCTCCGGCCTGACCACCACATTTTGGGTTTCAAGAGCATAAGGGTGAAAAAAAAAGAAGCAAAAAACCTTAAATAGGGAAAATGTGGATGATACCGCAATATTCCTGAGCAACATGTACGTGTAAGTCACCTTGGTCTCCATTTCATTTGCTGTGCAAATGCAGTCTATCCTAAAAAGAGATAATCTTCAAAAGCAATCAATGCAATAATTAACACGGCAGCCAGGAAAGAAGCGCGGTAGAGTTAACTTATTTTCTCCCCTTAAATACTAACTGTCCGATTTTAAGCAGCAAAAACTCTCTCTACATTATTTTTCATCTAACAAATTGCAAGTAGTGGTTTTATGTCTATTTAACACCATAAGGCAGTGGTTCTCAACCTTCTGGCCCTTTAAATACAGTTCCTCAAGTTGTGACCCAACCATAAAATTATTTTCGTTGCTACTTCATAACTGTAATGTTGCTACTGTTATGAATCGTAATGTAAATATTGAAAGGGCAGGATGGTCTTAGGCGACCCCTGTGAAAGGGTCCTTGTGCCTGGCCAATCAGCAAGGCCACAGCCCTTTCTCCTCCCCTTACTCCAATTCCCTATAAAACCCCTCTCTACACAGAGTTCTCTCTCTCTCTGCTTCCTGTCGCTGCGTCAGCAAGGAGGGGAGCCGAGCTAGCTCGAATAAAGACTCTTATGCTTTTGCATCGGACTGGCTGGCTCCCTGATGTGGTTTCTTGGGGATCCTGAAATCTGGGCATAACAAATATCTGATATGCAGGATGGTCTTAGGCGACCTCTGAAAGGGTCATTCGACCGCCAAAGGGGTCGCGACCCACAGGTTGAGAACCGCTGCCATAAGGCAACATTTACTATGGGTTGGGCTGTTACTTAGGCATTGGGAGTACAATAGTGAATGGCATGTGATGCCTGCCCTCAAAGAATCTACAGACTGGAAAGGAAGATAGGCTAATAAACATAGTAACTCTAGTCTGTCAGGTAAGTATCAGAGCCAGAGCAAGGGAAAATAGGGTACTGCAGAAATGTACTCAAGTCCAGAGTCAGGGAAGGCTACTTGGAGAATAAGGAGAAATTACCTAGATAGAGGGGGAAATGACCAGGTATTCCAGGCAGTGGGAATAAGTATATAAAATTAATGGCATAATAGCTTCATTTAGTGTTATCATATTCATAGATTAATAGTTTAGATAAGTTCCCAAATATAAGGTCATGATGAAATGCAAAAAGTGACATGTAGTAATTTTCATTTAATTAAGATCATGCTTTATTCTGATATGGATACCTCTCCTACTTTGGGGATGTTAAAATGTCATCCTTTCCCTCAAATGTAGTGATAGCAGATGGAAATGTGATTTAAAAAAAAATTCTTTGGCACAGCCAGCGTGGCTTAGTGGTTGAGCATCAACCTATGAACCAGGAGGTCAATGTTCGATTCCCAGACAGGGCACATGCCCGAGTTGCAGGCTCGACTCGATCCCCAGTGTGAAGCCCGCTGGAGGCAGCTGATCAATGATTCTCCCTCATCATTGATGTTTTTATCTCGTTCTCTTCCTTTCTTTTCCTCTCTGAAATCAATTTAAACAAATTCTTTAGCCAAATAAAAGATCTTGTGTTGATCCCTAAATTTTATTAGTTTATGAAGCAGAGAAAAATGTTCAGTTCCCCATGCTATATAAATGTTTGTTTTTCTTTTTCTCTCTTTGGTTAAAAACAATACTCAAAAAGTCTACAGGGAACTCAGATTTTAGTATAGAGCAAACAGTTCCAGTAACGTTAGAACTGAGGGATGAGAATATAAACCCCCAGCCCTTTGAAATTCTAGTTAGTTGTCCAATAGTTACCTCTATAGAAGTACTCTCTGAACTCTTCAGCATTATTTCCAAAGACCTGACATTTGTGCTTTTCTTGCAAACTTATTTTTAAAGCCAGGTTCATTTCCTGGATTTGTTTTGACAGAATTCCTAAGATTTACTTTTAGTGCTTTGATTGAAAACTTTCTAGGTTTTAGAAATTAATTTCATAATATTATTAAATTGTTTGATGATAATATAAGCCAGTATATATATATATGACTGCTGAAGACAGTGCTAAATAGTTTCTGTAGTTATTACATTTAAACCTCATGCCAGCCTTTATGTTTCTTTGATTACTATACGGAGAGGTTAAGTAACCTACATGAGGACACCAAGCCAAAAGTTGAGTTAGTACTCAGGGGTCCTCAAACTTTTTAAACAGGGGGCCAGTTCACTGTCCCTCAGACCGTTGGAGGGCCGGACTATAGTTTAAAAAAAAACTATGAACAAATTCAGTAACAGGCAGCGGCGGCAAAAACACCCAGCAGGCCGGATAAATGTTTTCTAAATGTTTTCGGCGGGCCGCATGTGGCCCGCGGGCCGTAGTTTGAGGACCCCTGTTACATGATTGCGATTGCCCTGTAGTTTATCATACCAACATGAAAAAGTGTCTTTATAATCCAAAAGCTGTCCAGATATATCAGCTTGTTTCTTGGAAGGGAAGAATTTGACTAAATTTCTGGAAAAATATTACTAAACATATGTATGTCCAGAATTGAAAACTATTAACAATTAACATTGTGTACTATCTAAAGCTTGCATTTAGGATCTACATATATCTCTATCTCTATCTCTATCTCTACCTCTATCTCTATCTCTCTACTTATTTTTTGAGTGCACCCCAAATTCTCCAGGTAAAACAGTAATTTCTTAAATCCATTTGTCTCTTGAATGAATTAAGGTGGGAAACACACATACAATAGAAAATAGTGGAGGCAGGGCAAACCCTTCAGAAATATGTGAGCTAAGCTTTCTGTTAACCCTATTCAACTCATTTTAAAAAGCTTTGGAGAAGGGGTCTAGATGCTGCCTGGGAAGGTGGCTAAAAGTAGTGGAGAGAATATGGGCTTGGAAGACAACAGTGAGTTCAAATCCTAGCATTTTGTTAGCTTCATTATTTGTTTTGTAGGTGACAAAGCAGATTTAAACTCAGAATTATTGGGAGTTCAAGTTGGAGACCAGACTTAGAGGAGAAAAACTTGCCCCTGATTTCCAATCTAATGCTCAAAAGACTGGTAATGCAAGGAAAATTAACACATCAGATGTTTAAGGGTGGGCAGTGGTAGGAGAGATATCAGAAGACCTTGTTCTAGGCTAGGGTGATTTTAAGGATTTACTTCTGTTTCCTGTCTCCTTTCTGAGTAGTAAAAGAGGTTTCTGGTCCCCAGTAACAACCATGATGATTATTTTTCAAGTACAGTTCTATCTGAAAAGTTCTAGAAGGAAACAAATGTACCTTATTTATCATTTTTTTAAATAAATTTATCCAAAGAAAATGAATATATTCACTAGTCAGTGAGTTTAACAATGCTATGTAAGTACCTAGCGATTGCATATGAGTAAAAAATAACCTAGAAGTTATTCTTTCAGTCAGTTTTACATATTTCATGTAAACAATAAAACTTTTTCTCCTCCTGCTTTATAACAAGTCCTACTTTTGCTTCATTTCTATGCCCTTTGGCTCCGTATTAAAAGAGAAAACACTCAAAGTGCTGTATTTTGCAATATTGATGACCAACTAAGCTCAGGATATTTATTTCCATCTGGTAGAGTTCAACTTCTGCCTCTTGTTTGCTTTCTCCATCTGCTCGCCTCACCATTTTTTTTTCTTCTCTTCCTTAATGGAGTTCAGATTAACCCTTTTCTGGGCCTAATTGTTTTAGCAGGCTCACGCCTAAGTGCCAGTCTTTTTTTCCTTTTAATTTGCAAGTAGGGTTTCCAGTAAACTTAAATGTCTATGCCTAATATTTTCACAAGCTTCACATTTTATCTTTTTTTTTCTTCTGTTTTCATAAAGAGCAGCAGAACCCAAGGTTCAGGCAGTTATGTGGACTAGAAAACAGCAACTTTTGGTTTTGTGTATAAACAGTGTAGAATACATTATATCCTCCCCACCACCACCACCAATACATAATAAAATTTACAAGATCCACGTTACTCTGTATTCAGTAACAGGCTTTCCTTATCAACCTTAAGTTGGAGGCAGGAAAGTGTCCACTCTTCTCTCCCTTGACTCCTGAAGTTACTGCAACAGCAACCACAAAAGGCGAACTAACCTTTTATTTATTTATTTCGCAATTAAACTTTTACAAAGGCATCCCGACTCCTCCCCGAGGGTGAAGCAGAAACGGCTCCTTGGCGTTGGCTGCACTTCTGCGAGACCT